AGAGGTCAACAGAAAAGAAATCCCCGCCTGAGGGAAAGATTGTGAAAGTTTGCGTATGCTCGGATATTGATCTTGGCGAAGTTCTGAAGTTCTATGATGGTCTATGCTTTGAGAGTAGAATTTCGAAATTCGGTGGAATTTCCTAAGATTTGGTAGAGCGTTTAACATAGTTTTTCCCTACCTATAATCAATTATTGAAGAAAATTTTTAAGACCGATTCTGAGTGAGAATCAGGAAACAAAAATTTACAAAAAGGAAAGAAACTGCTTTTCTAAACTCTGTTAATTTCAATGATCTCATTTTATTATCACCGCGGAAGAACAGTATACGTTTTGAGATTTTGTGAAACATTTCAACAGAAGTACCGCAAAGTACAAGACGCTAAGTTCTAGACTTTTGCCTTTTTGAAGCAAATTTTTAAACAAATTCGAGGAACCCGTCCTTTAAGGTGCTAGAAAAATAGCGCAAATTTTTCTTCAAAACGTCTATCTGAATTAGTTGAAATATGGAACACTCGCTATTTCTGAGTCTGGAGAAATCAGCATTTTTTTAGCTTTAAATTTGTCTCACAAAATGTTTTGAAATGTTAGGTGTATTCATTACATCTTAGGCGCGGCGTCAAACCTCTGAAAAGTTAAATAATTTGCAATCCTCTATGCTGGAGTATTTTGTGACTAACGAAAAACTGGTGATGTTCGTTCAGAAGTTTGTTGCTTGAAAATTCAAACCTAAAACTGGAATAAAACCAACGTTTGGTTCGTTCTGTGCAGCATTTTTTTGCCCAACTTTCGGTCCATATTTTCACTCCGTTCTACAGAGTAATACCGTAGAATATTTTGCACGTTCCGATGCCCTAATATGGTGAAATAGCGAGACGGGATTATTAATTACATAAGTACATTTTGTGTTCTTTTATGTTTTTTTTTTTTTAATATTTTAGATGAAGGATAAATTACGTAAGTACATTTTGTGTTCTTGTATGTTTCCATTCCCAAGAGAACCATTTTATTTGAGGTAAATGTTTCAAAAGTTTCGCTTGGTTCAAAGGACTTTCTTGCCACGTGAAAATCAGTGGAAAAACATGGTACAGTGAAGCATATAAATGCTTGTTCCGATGCCCTAATAAGGCAAAATAGAATAGAAATGGGATGATAAATTACGTGAGGACGTTTTATGTTCTTTTACGTTTGTTTTCCCACGAGTACCATTCTCTTTGAGATAAATGTTTCAAAGGTTCCGCTTGGTTTGAAGTACCTGCGTGCCACGTGAAAATCAATGGAAAAAACATAGTACAGCGAAGCATATATCTTTGAACAATGCCACCTTAATTAAGCTCCATTCAAGAACTCATAAGAGATCTTTTACTATTAAAAGCATATATCTAGAAAATAATGAAAGCGGCTGTCGCATTTTTCTTCAAAACTAAATCCTTTGAAACCTTGAAAGAAAAATGTCTTAAAAAAAAAGAAAATGGTTATAGTGGAGGAATTTCCGTTTTTAAATGTCACCCTCCTTTCGTGAATTACTTTTTCTCGCAATTTTAAATATTTCACTATTATTCGTAGGTAAGGACTAGCTGTTATTCGCAAAAAGATAGGTGCCTTTTGTTAGTCCCACCTGTATCGTTTTCAACTTGCTTCTCTTAATTTTGAAAAGCGAAGAATGAAAGCATTTAAAAGTAAATTTGTATTAATTAGTATTTGTCGTTCGATCTTTAAAGGGAACTAAAGCGTTCTTCTGCCAGCAAAAGCTTCAGTTTCGCTTAACGTCTCTTCAGAATGTCGTATAAAATCTTCGCTATTGCAGTAGGCTTATTCGTCGCGCTCTCTCCTCCCAATTCAAGTTCATCGCTAGTCACAGGGGATGACGCCAACAAGTTAGGTCAAAATTTTCAAGAGGTCCAAGTAAGGCCGAGATCTCAATGTGGTATTATAGGAGCTCGCTACAGAACGAAAAGATGTCGTCGGCAAGGGAAACGAGAACTTGTCAAAAGGAAAAGCCCTGAGAAAGATATTCAAGTGCTTGGTACAGCATTTGTTTATGAGAGTTCTTGAAAACTGTTATAAATTTCTGTGTCCGGTGTTATATCATGGCACTGCCTAGCGAGAAAATACTCAGGGAACCCAGTTATCAGAACTGGACAATACCAGTTTTGGAAAAGTGTTTCTTAATTTCTCTTCTTACTTCAATCACGAGTGGACTGATTTATTCATCCTCTAGTTTTCTTCTTTGAATCTTTTGGAAAATTTTTCATTTTATTGCTTTCTTTGTTACTAACGATATATTGTAGGAAAATTCATTACTTGACGAGGGAATTCCGCATTAAATTGCGCGCGAAAACCGATATCGCACGAATCGCGAAGCGATGACGAAAGATTCTGACCCGACCCACGATGAGTCACGAATATCTCGAACGAGTGGTGGTTTATAAGGTTGGCAAACGTTGCTACGAGTTGCCCAAGATTTGCGATCTACTTTCACACTACTTGTTAACGTAAAATGAATTAGATTGAGTATTGGAATCCTAGAGTGAATTAGCGCGTAATTACCACAATTCGAAAAATATTGAGCCTGCAGTGTTCTTCTAGTGAGTTAGCAGTGCTGATAAACGGGATGCTACTGAGAAATTCGGTTGAAGCTTTATGAATAAAGGGGGGAGGTTTTTCGAGAAACTATGGTGCTACGTAATTGAGTGGTATTATAAGGAGTTGCCAAGACTGATGACGTTTCGAGATTAATGTGCTTTTTGAAACTGACCGTTAAGATAATTTATCATAAGTTTTTCTGTCTTCTTTTTATCAGATAATCGAAGGCGTGGAAAGGCAGACGAGGAACTACAAACGGACTTGACTGAGTAGATAAATAAGGCAAAGAAAAACTGATGAAATCAAAAACCGTAAACCCGTAAAAGTTCCTGTCATTACAACGGAATCTACATAGTGAAAAGAAAGGACGGTTGACGAATGAAGTCCATACTAGCTACGCACGGAGTTTTCTCAACTATCAAAGATCATGAATCTAAAGATATTTCATTAATTATCAAGACTGCTGTAACGAGAAATATTCCAAATTAATTTTGTGATCTTGGTTTATCAGAACTATATTTGGGAATTGTCAGTTACTTTAATACTAAAACGTTCAGTTCCTATATTTTAAAGCCGTTCAGCAACCATGCATGCAAACTCATTCTAATCAAAAAATATATGACAAGGTAAAACTATTCTTGTATATAACCACTGTTTTAATTAACAAATGATTCAAGTCTTCAGCCTTCAGTCAGCTTCTCCTAATATTTTTGAAAAATAATTTATCGATCGGTCTCTAAAAAAAAGCCGGCGGCTGTTTATAGCCAGCGAGCATGGCTTTCGTGTCAAGGTTTCACCATCGGCCTCTTTACCAGTCACTGCCGCTTGTGGAAAAAATTTGTTGAAACTGTTGTCTCTTTTACTGTACCCTTGACCAGGTCGGGTTGTTTGTTCTAGCTTGTTCATCAGGGTTTGTCTACAATCGAAAACTATTACTATAGGTTTCATAGATTTAAAGACAATTTTCAGCGAGCCAAGACAAAAAAATTAAAAAACCCCGCCGGAAAGCGTAATATAACTGCTGCCAGCCGATGCAAGTATATCAGAAATGCTTCCAAAGCTTTCAGCAACAGGGCACACCATTAAAACCAGTACGCCGGTACTATAATTTTAGTCAGCTGATAAATAAAGATCACTATTTTTGTGGGCATGTATAATTTTATTAAGGAAATTTTCCTACAACCGGTCTATTTACCCACTTGAGAGACAAGCTTCTAGTCATGAAACGGACATCTTGATTTTAATCTGCAAGTGTTTTGGCGTAGGGCACTCACAATCCAATATTTCCTCATTGTAAAATCTCTTAATATGAAAGCCCCGTCAACAGGTGGTTCACTATTGTCTTTCAATACGTCTAAATTTTATTCTCTACTATTCAAGGAAATGTGGCAGGGTGTGACGTCATCTAAGCATCTGTTAAACATTTCCGAGGCCTGATGGATATCTTATGAACTTCGGCAGCTGTGCATGACGAACCAAGCCAAGCAATTCACCATCAAAAACCGCTGTTCGTATAATTGTAATCCAATATCTCGACAGTATTTCTTTTCATGATATCTTTGTGTACAATAGCCACGTTGACATCGCCGTTTTCTCTCTATTCAGACAACAATCGATAAATAGTACACGTTTAACACTAAAACATTTACCACAAAATTTTCCTTGCAATGACTGCCATTTCTTTGCCTGAGTCGGAAGCCTGTGGCTCCCACGGTTTGAGAATGAGTTATCAGCGAAGAGAACCCAATCTATCGATAACCTGAAAAGTCTCGAGTCACATTTCGTTAATAATTTCCTCGCTAGAAAAAAAAAACAAAGAAGCAAAAGTTCGTATTAGCCATTCAAGCCAAATAAAATGATGCCCAGACTGGAGAACGCACGGAAAGGAAAAAAAAACAAAAAACTCCCTATTCAAAGTTTGCTAAGTGTTCATCTCCAGCTCCGTTCCCTTAGTTTTGTCTTCTCCTTTTGAAGATATAACTTTTCATCCATGTTATTTATCTTCTAATATTCACTCACACAAAAAAATTTCGGAGACCTGTTTTCCATTCAGACTTTCTTTTGCCTCGATATTTGATTTTCCTCTTTCTTCCCCTCAAACATTTGACTTTCCGGTGACTTTGCCAGGGGTAAATTAATGGAGATCTTGTTCACATCCCAAAACACTTAAAGAGTCTTGAAATAAATGCAAACAAAATTTATTCGGTACTTTGTTCTCTGGAGATTTCAGTTGAAGCAACATAAAAGGAAGCGTAGATTAATAATTCGCAATCAATGGCGTCCATTATTAAGGTACTATCGCCCATTTGCCAAAATTTAATGATAGTCTTCGTGATAAGATAATATTGTACTGCAATATGAGCAAAGAGAGTATAAAAGAAATTAATTTCACGTAGATGGGTCATTCGACAAAACCGTGTGTCCTAGACACAAATTTCATTCAGTGAGAGCCTTTAGGTCTTTGAATCAAAAAAGACAATATGTTGCCAAAGACTTCTCTTTTTCTCTGTTTTGTTGTAGTTCTATTTATCTTGAACACATGTTTCTCTTTGGAGGACGATTAAAGCTTTATGTCATCATTGGATGAGGAAGCCAAGGTTTTCCAGTTGAAGCCGAGGAAGAGGTCTCCATGTATTATCGGCGTACGATATCGTAGTAAAAGATGCAATGGAAAAAGACTCTTCAAGGCAGAGAACTTCAAGGTATGTCTACGGTGGAAAATCCAAGTTCTATTCATTGCCTCCCCAGACGCAATAACATCGTAGTAAAAATTACTTTTCATCAGAACCTTCTGGTTATCTGCCCTGGATTTCAATTATCTTAGTTTCTGTTTTTGCCAAGTGTTGAAAAAGATGGCACCCTAGAATCTGCTTTTGTGATTTGGAATTGGTTCGAACGTGCAAAATAATGGGACCCTTTTTTTTTCCCCTTGGTTCAAGACTAAAAACAGTAATGCGCCTTTTTCATAACTCATCAGATTTGACGATTCTATCACGGGTGATTTTCCGCGAAAGGTTTCACATGGTTTGTTAGTTCTGTCATTTTTCTAGTTTTTATCACATGTCGCTATGTTTATTTGGGTAGCGTTTGAAAATTGCCTGAATGCATTTTACGGTTTGATTATGAATTTTGCCTAGAGTACTCCTATAAATTATCAAATAGCATTCCAAATACGAGAAGATATACGTTTAAATTTGAAATAACTGGAAGCAAATGGACCGATCGAGTGCAGCTTTTAACCTTGTCTCGAGCGGGCTGTCCAATCACAGCACCGTTTTGAGGTAAAAATTATAGAAATCCCCACAAAAGAGATCTTGCGGTTTTTCGGCGCTTTTACTCTTCCAGAAGGAAAAGATCTATGGTTCTATGGAGGGCTTCTAGACGCTAACTCAGAGATAAAGGAAGTTAGCATGCTTTTCTATTGCGGCGAACCGCGCAAAACCTAGAATTGTCGAGCTCTGCAAATGAGGACAGAACTGCAAATGGATCCGAAGGACAAATTAAACGTAACCTTAATGATCTCGGAGAAGGACAACAAATGATCCACAAATAAAATAACAAATGATTACGCTCTTCAAATGATGGCAAAATTGATTAAACCGCAAATGATCTTTGTAACGCAAATGATCTTTGCAACGCAAATGATCCCAAAGGAGGACACCGCAAATGATCCCTTAGAGAAATCTGGAATGGCATTGCCAAAAAATGACTGTAAGACTGCAGACGTCTGCGGTTTCTTATGATTTATTGGGCTCAATTTTACCGGACATAACCATCTTCCATCGTAGCAATGAAAAGAGATGAAAGCGCAGACGTTTCGCAACAGGCACAGTTTGTTGAATCTTTAAAAAAGACATCCGATTATGGAGTAACATCCAAAAAGGCATCTACAAATCTGCATTTCTTCTTTCCTCTTCAATCCATATGCCTGAAGAATTCTATTTGCTACAGTCTTAAAACCCGTGAAGTTAACCCCCTACCTTCAATAAGACTCTGCTCTAATTACAGGAATCATTAAACTAGAGGTTGAAAATCGTTTGATTTCCAATCTGAATTTCGGCACACGCAAGCCAAATCAGCAAAGTCAATGTATTATAATTGCTAACACGAAAGTTCGGTTAAATCAGTTCATGATCGAAGGATTCGAAATTTAACAAAGCAGCAAAAGATATCAACCTTTTGATACTGATTAACTCTCTTTTAATCAAAAACATGACACGATCTTATATTTTAAATGGAAGGTTACCCAACATTTTTTGTCCTTTTTAGCCCATAGAGCTTAATTGCTAAACCCTCCACATTCACATGATTAACGTAGCATTTCAGAACAATCTCTTTCTTTTAGCGCATAAAATTACAAAAGAAATTTACCAGTTTTAGTTCAATCTAATAATTTCAAACCTGATTCATTTTGGTTTTCTTTAGATTTCCAAGGATTCAACACAAGGACGAAAAGATGCTGAATGACTGGATTAAAAATAAACAAATAACAACAACAATGACAATTTTAAAAGCAATCGATCCCTCAAACTCCTGCCTCAGTCAAGACTGTGATCCAAAAGGAAGCGAAAGTGAGACCTGTCAGCTCGACACATCGTTTATAAATAGACTACAAGCAGTTCCTCCTCCTCTTACCCCTCACTCCCAGAGTTCTTCACGGCACGTTCAGCTCGCTTTTTTTCAGTTCACTGATTTTTTTTTTTTTTTCTGTACTCGCCTGGCGGACTTCGCCGAAAACCAAGGTACTGCTCGTAGTCTACAGCATATTGACGAAAGGAGTCTGCTGTTATGTGACAGTGTTTTCTAGGGATTACGGTTCATGAGTATTATTTGTAAATTAAAGACTAACTAAGAAAATTGAATTAAAACTTGATATCGTAAGTGTGTCCCCTACATGTCTACACATAGTCACTTAGGACTCACAGTTAGAATTTTCTCGAGCTTGAGTTGTTTTTAGTCCTCTCAACCCCCAGAAACGATTAACCTGTGACTTCTCCCTATAATATCCATACATTATCCCGCAAAAAGGTAATGAGAATACTTAAACTTATCAGGTGTAGAGGTTGAAATCCTGATCTAGAACCAGCAAATAAACTGATTCACAAAGAAATGCGTAGCAATCAGAGGGGAGAATTAACAATCAGATCTTGGGAGTAAATAACTGATTTACAAAGAAATGCGTGGCAGTCAGAGGGGAGAATTAACAATCAGATCTTGGGAGTTCAGTAAGGTTGAAGAACTGGTTATAGATAAAACCTGCTTAGCAATCAAGAGATAAGAGTAAAAAGGCGATTGAGATTTTTTCTATAGGCATACGTTGTCAAATTCAGTCAGAAATATACGATTGAATACTTGTTTGAGAAAAAAAAAAACTTCAAAATCCTTCGAATTCCAGAGCTTCTAAAGACAAAAAAAAAAATTACTTCCAGTCCGTTCTTTTGGATAACTAATTCTCAAGTCTTTATTTTTATGCTGCCATTTTCTTATAACTGGAAACTTTTACTTTAATTTTAGCAGTGTCCTGTGATGAGGTTTACAAAAAAATGCCTCTTAGCTTAGGAAACGAAAAACTGGGAAAGTTTTAGTCATTTTACAACAACATAGAGAGTCAGATAAAACACCTGCGAAGGGCGTTCGGCTTTATGTTTGACCCATCGAGTCTTATTTTACAACCGTTCAGCTCACTGTAGACAGATTATCCCAGTGTTTGTACAACCAAATCAGTCATTAGATTACGTAGACAGGAAAGCTTTCGTTTGGCTTCGAATATTGAGTATGAAATGATTCAGCTTGGAATATTTCGGACAAGAAATTGAAAAAAGGTTCATGAGAACCTGATTCGTGACGTTTGGTCTATTTATCCACCAATATCTCATATCTAAAGAAAGATTTCCTGTTGTTGATCGGTCGTTCGACCTAGTAGACACAACTTAACATTACAAACAAATGCGGCTTGTGTGCCTCTTTTTTTTTTTACCACGCTTTGACGTCTTCTGTGATAAATTACTGAAAAAATCCGCCCAGCATCACGAAAAATATTTGTCCAGTGTCACCCTACACGCAATACGTACGTATTTCCTGTCTTATACAATGCACGTTAAAAAAATACCCCTAGGGTAAAAAAAACAAACAAAAAAGCCAACATTGTTTAACTTTTTTTAACAAGTTTCTATGACACGAATTCCATGACATTTTTCTCCCCCCACTTCTTTTGTCGTTATAAATTATAAGCTACTTGGTCAACAAAATTGAATTGTCTACAAAAACCATTTTCACTTGGTGTTTTTAAAAGAACGGTATCTTTTAACTGTATTTTTTAATGAGGATCGTTAACCTTGACGATCAGTGGGATTGTCCAAAATGAACAAATTTTCCACAACTTCTACCTTGTTGTCTTGCAAGTTAGCAGTTACTTTGTCCGGAAAACAAGAAAAAGTTCAAACTTCTACCCTCCCGTCTTCGCGGTTTCACTGACCAGAAAAAGTGACGCACAAGGGTTCAGCTTGTATGGGTTAGTAAAGAAAAGAGGTGCTATGTTTACGGGTTAAAACGTGTCATATATACACCTGTTTTGCAAGAAGAAGGCGGCGAATTTAACCCAACGCCAATTCGTTTTCGACACGTTCTGTAGTATTAAATTTAACTATTCAGGTTCGTCGTCTAAAAATTTGCGTCATGTTTCGCCATTCCTGACAACCCTTACACCCGCTCTAGCAATTTTTTCATCTTTGAATTCTGTGTTTCCTTGATGAAAGTAACTCCGTTAAGTTTCTTCGCTCCTGTCGAAAGTTTCTTCATTACATCGTCAAAAATTAGATCCCAAAAATCCCGTAGGCGTAGCCTTGTGAGAACAAGGCAGCTAGTTAGAGTTTTAGTAACTTAAAATGAACACTTCGCGCTCAGACTAGCCAATTATCAAGAGAGACCGATTAATAAACACAAAAACAACAAAAAAAAAAAGCTCATGGAACTGGATTTTAACATAGACAAGCCAAAGCGGGTTATGCCATGACAGTATTTATGTCATAGTTGATACAAATCGTTAACTATGTTGACCAAAAACCGTTAATTTTTGTCATTCGTACATTAACGGTTAAGCTGTTAGAGGTCGTCAAAAACTACAGGAGTTTTCTCAGTGCTTAAGTTGTTCAGATTGAAATCAGAGTCGCCAACAATGCCAGGTTTGTTTATTAAACATTGCGGGACTTAATTCAAATGGACACGAAGTCATGATATTTTAGGGGATTAGTTTAAATTATTATTATCAGCTTTAAGAGTCAAATCGAAAGATCAAAAGCTTTTATTGGTCAAAATCACGAAAGGCTATATGACCAAGAGTGATCGCCAGCGTGAAATAAAATAACAAATAAACATGAACTTTGGAAACTTCTACGCGGAAATTTAAGGGTCGTGGCAATCCAATAAGTTTCACCAACTTGTAATCTACAGCCGCTTTGTCACGGTCTTGTCTGAGTCGAAATTAGTTCCTAAAAGCTGCTTGTTTATCTTATATTCGTTAATCAGTCTGTAATGATCACCTTCTAGTCTGAGCCCATGGCATTCATTCAAGTATTCTACTCTAAGCCTGGCCCGTTCCCTTTGTTCTCGTTGCCGCGGCGTCAAGTTTTCCGCCTTCTTCCTTCACAACAGGTGTATGTATGACGCGTTTTAACACGAAAACAAAATCTTTCTTTACTAACCGCTAACCGCCGAAATTCTGTACGTCACTTTTTCTGGACGATAATTGCCGCTGAGAAAGGGAATAGAATTTGAAACTTTCTATTATTTTCCGCTGCTATTACACGCAACAGCATGCTGAATCATCACATGAATTGATCATTTCTAAATATATTCAAGCAATTCATGGTACTCTGTCATCCGTTGGTGTTTAAGTGAAATTATAATTTCCAAGTTACAGCATGGAAAAATTTTCATTCGGTATCAAGACTTCTGGAACGTTTGCTTTCAACTGGTTTCAACAACTGGTTTCAACTAGCACCTTCTCCTTTCTTAATCCCTACATCTGAGTGTAGATTCAGTTGACTACCTCAGTTTCATGAAAGTCTTGTTCAATCAGGCCTCCGCTGATGTAAAATTTTAATGCGTCTTACTTAAGAAACTACAACGAGGTTCTGGCTGAAAATAAAGGGGGAAAGTTTCGCTCTGGCGAAGGACTAATGCTCGAAGCAACAGCTTCAGAAACTCTTTTCAGCATTCACATTATTAATATACCAAATTATTATCCAACTACATCTAGACGAGTACAAATAACGCCATGGACAAGTACAAATATCACGCGGTATTTGTACTCGTCTATTGTAATACCAGTTAAACAAGTTTTCTCGTATCGCGCAAGCGAAGAATTGGATTGTAGTTACGAAAAAAAAAAAAGTGGCGGACAATTTGAATCATATTTCCGAAGACGAAGAGTCAGAATGGCTGGCAAATATAGATCCAAGTTCATTAGATGAATCGAACGAAGAAAAACAGCTTGACGACCATAAAATTTCTTCATTTAAGGAAGACAATAGAAACAGCAACACAACAACGCGCCAATGATTCCGTTCCGTTTCGCATACTGTCACGCACTCCCCGTAAATAAATATCCGCGAAATTCGCCCGCACTGAAATAACACTTTGGCGTGTTGGATAATAAAGAACTTATTAGACATTTTGTTGTGTAGTATCGCTGAGTATTTTTACTCGTTATTTGTACTTTTACTCGCCCTACGGGCTCGTCAAATTACGGCACAACTCGTAAAAATACTCAGCGATACTACACAACAAACCGTCTAATAAGATATATTTATTTGCTGAATATGACAACTCTGGATAGTTAACAGAGCTGGTTTACAGCTGATGTATTGCATATGATACATATTAGTTGGACAAAAACAAAAATCTCTTAATGTGCTCGAAAGACTGTTGTGCTTAACTTCAACCCATTGAGGCCTATCAAGCTTTTTGACGATTTGAAAACGGAGTGAAACTATAGCAGACAGCTGTATTTTAGCGGTTACGTAACATGTTTTTGGAATTCCAATACAAATCAATCATTGTTATTTATAACTTCTGTTAAGCAATGAAGTGACGAAAGGTTCTTGGCGGTAAATTACGCAAATGCGGTTTACGTTAAAGAAGCCTGAGAATATAATTTTTTTTTTCTACCTTCGTCCTCTTTTATGCAAAAAAACACTCTTTCTTTTTCTCTGTCGCACTTCCGGCTTGCTCAGACTTGTTTCGTTTTCTTTTCCCACAAAGCGGCCCAACTTTTGATTTTGCCGTTTCGCTTCCTGGTTTTAAAGCAGTGTCGAACTTCCGAAATTGATACAGAAGGCTATTATCCAACAAATCACGGAAGTTAAACTGTTTTTAACACAATATCATTCGCTTAAACAACAGGAAGATTTTGCCACTAATGGGTATAAATAAGACATCACATCAGATGTTCCAGAAAAACATTTTGCACCTGAAGACCGAATCAACCGCAACACAACCATCGCACAATGTCAGCTAAGAGGATCTTTGTCCTATACTTTTTCATCGCCGTGTTTCTTGTTGATTGCGTCAAGGAATCTGAATGTTCCTTTAATCAGCAGAGTTTTTCTGGAAAAATGGCAGCTACTTTTTCCACACAAAATCGTCCCAAACGAAGCCCGTGTATTGTTGGTACAAGATGGAGGACAAGAAGATGCCAAAAAGGCAAACGAGCTTTACAACCGAAGGTAAGCGACAATATCAAAAATTTTCTTGTATTCTAAATCGGAGATGGTTCCAAGCGATTTATGAATTAAGAAATCTAGTTTCGTTTTCACTTGACTTGTGAGTCGGTTTGCAACACGGACCTATCCGAAAAGGGGTTAACCAGAGATATTTGATGTAAGAATCTTATTAGTTCAAGCTTTTGAGGGTAGAAATAATCGTCAACAAATAGTTTATACGGCTGAGACATAATAGAGAAAAAGAGCTAATGCAAGGCCGCTTAAGGTACAAAGTTCACTCGGATTTTTTTTTCTATTTCTTCTTTTGTCTTTAATAGCCCTTTTTACAGTTCTGGGCTTGGTGGCCAAGCCTTTGAACAGGAGTGAGGCTAAGGGTGACCTTGTTATGATAGAGATGTTGCTGCTTTTCAAATGCAAATTTCTTTGTTATCATGCTAAGTAGATACAGGTCTCTATCACAACAGGGTCACCCTTAGCCTCACTCCTGTTCAAAGGCTTGACCACCAAGCCCACAACTGTAAAAGGGACTATTGATAAAGAACAAGAGGATATAGGCACTTTAGGCCACCAGGCGCTTTGCCCCTGGAACGATCACTATTGTGATAACACAACACAAAAAGACAAAAAGTGAGGGTGTTTCATTACACAAATAATATGCAATCATAGTTAAAATGTAAACGATTAGCTACGAATCCATCATCGCAGGTAAACTGCTGTTGAGTCAACTGTTGAGGGCAAAGCATTCGAAAATTAAAAAAAAATGTGGGGTTCGACAAAGCTCGAACCCAAGCCTCTTCGATACTAGCTGGGCGACTAGAAACCCATTCCTCCGTATATCACCCCTGAATCACAACCTAAGGTCCCGAGAATAAGGGAAATGATCACCAACTTAAGATGCTCTTGATTGTTACCAAATTCTCTTTATCAACCTCTTGTGAAATGTATAGAGAACAGTGTGGAGAATATGATGTTAGGGTATATCTAAAGGGTTCCTACATATGAAGCTATAAAGCTACATGTTGAGAGTGTAGTCAGTAATCAAAGTTTAATGTCTTTACGTGGGGCATGGTTACCCATATTGCCCGAGCCAGAGGCTCATGTATGAAACGCAAGACAACAACTCACCCATCCCACCCTAGGGGAGGACATCCATCACACAGTAATCTCGTGCGTAGGAAATTAACGTCTCCTACCCCTAACCCTGCAGGAGACGGGACCTCCATTTATTCGTCCCTATCCGAGAAGACTAGAATATCTAAACCATTTCTTGATGTTGTAGAAAGGCAGCATATTCTTCTCAATTATTTTAAGACCTTGAGTGTTGGTCCGGCCGGGGCTCGAACCCTCGACCTCCCGCACATAAGTCCAGTGCTCTATACATTGAGCTAACCTGGAGACGGTTAGCAAATTGTGGCGGGTTCTTTTTTTCCATATGAAAAAAGTATAATACGATCAAAAAATATAATAAAAATTCACATTGCTGATGCTATTCTTTTAAAGGTTTTTTTTGACGATCACGACTGGAATAAAAATTGACACTAAGCAGACAATAAAAAGAAGAACATAACGACGAGGACAAGGCCATTGGTCTACGCAAGTTCAGATCTGTCAAGGCCTCCACGTCAGTTCGCCACGAAGGAAAATAATTTGCTCTACGCTGAAACTGTTCGATCTTGACTTTGACGAAATTAAGCAACTCCAGGATGGTTTGATTGGAACTTGACACATTACCATGTCTGTATTTATTTTAAACAATTACTGGATGAGGTTTTTGTGATATCCGGAATAATCAAAGTCGAGGTAAGTGTTAATTCAGCCGAAGCCGAAGCCTAAGGCTGAGGCTGATGACACTAACCGAGACCTTGATTATTCCGGCTATCACAAAAACCGAACACAATAACTGTTTATTTTTTCTTGATGCCCCCTTCGAACTCTGTTAAAGAAGACTTCCTCTCCTACTGCTTCCCTGAAAAACTCTGTGATCCACTAAATCTCCTTCAACCCCCTCGGCAATAAAATAATGATGTCCGGTCTCTTCAGACAAAGTTTGTTTTAGTCTGCTATTTATATCTAATTTTTTGGTTTTTTTTTTATGTTTTGACAACGATTTATTTGTAAAATAATTTAGTAGTCTATCATGATTTACCTGTTGGAAAACATTGTGAAAATATATAATATATAGTAAAGAACAAAAACGAAATCTACGGTGAAAAGGAATTTTAACCATAGTAAAAACAATAATAACAATAAAAATAATTAAACCGTTTAGCATGACAGTTTTAGAAGATTTATTTGTTTGACTACTTATCTGTATTACACTGATTACAAAATATCTGCCACTTTATGTATTCATGAACAATAAATTAACTTACAAAAATAAAGTGTTGAGTATGGAAGCAAAAATTGTCTCATTTGTACCTGTTTTTCAAAATGATTGCCTTTTGTTTTTCGCTTTTTCTAGCTTTTGTTTTTTTTTTTTTTGTTGCTTTTATTTATTTTTTTTGGCTCTCTTCTTGCACTTGCATATAACTGACGGATTTTGAATGTAAATCAGCAATGGGGGATCTCAAAATACATCCAGAGCAAAAGACATCGACATCAAGATGCAATTAACATTTACATTAAAAGAAATTGTGTATTCCAATCCAATAAATAAGACACGAGGGCTGATGCCAACATAGAGCTTTCTCAGAAAGAAAGTTAAATGAGTACTTAATATAATAATAATAATAATAATAATAATAATAATAATAATAATAACAATAATAATGGTTTATTAACAGATCCACTGAGTAGCTCTTCCTTTTTAAATATTATTAGTGTGGAGCCTAGCTACCTGTGACCACTGGAAATTTTTACACAATGTCACTGTGTTGTAACCATGGTTTTGAGGAAAAAGCAAGTTAGGCCCAAGAAAAATAATTCTCAAACAGTCAAAACAATTTTTTGTAGTTTTGACATTTGTTCTTCTATAGATACTGATATTCATGGTGAATAATCAATACACAATAATATTGATCCCTCAAACTCAACTTACAATTTTTCAAGGTTTTCTAAGATGCAACTGGATGATATTAATTAAATAAATATATTAATCATAAAATAATGATCAATAAAATTAATCATTTATCAATTAAAAATTGTGGATTTGAGACTAACAACCTAAAAAAATAAAATCATACAAATTTGGCACAGAATTTGTGTTCACCATCTGCATTACCCAATGAAAGAAGAGATATGCTTCTTGTCCCTGGCCAATAAAAATAATTTGCATCTCCACCACTGAAAAGTACACATGAAAATATGAAGATGGCTTTTCTTGAGATTCCAAAGAGTAACCTAACCTTTCCAAGTTTGCATTAAAATGATTCAGTATGGCAGATTCACTTGGGTTTCAGAACAAAAAAATGGCTTTAAAGAATTCTTTGCAGCTTTTGGCCTAACACCAACACCACAACAATGAGCTGCACAGCAAAAAAGAAGGTTTAGATCATATCAACTAGGATTCCCAGAGACGAAGGGGGAGATGGATTGGCAGTTATTTTGCTCCCAAAGTTTCCCTGCAATAGACTCTGGATGACCAAAAAAAAAGAGGGGCCACCCTGAGGAAACTTTGAGGAGGACTGTGGAAAGGGAAATGAGGGACACAGGCTAGATGGACACTAGACAGCCAATGAAAGAGAGGCTGCCCCAAGGACACTTGGATCAGGAGAACTGTAGAAAGTGAAATGAGGGACACATAGGCTAGACAAGAGGGAAGCTCAAACAGCTGGTAGCTGACAAAAACCATTGGCAATCTTTGGCAGAGGGTTTATGTGCAAAAAGCACAAAATAATGTTCAGGTATATTTCATATTGGAAAAGTATAAATACCAAGTCTCTGATACTCACTTCTCCTTTTAAAAAGCTTTTATGTCCTTCTTAGTTTCTTGTAACTTCTGGTGGCTTCCATCAACTATGAGTTATTTACCATGTCTGGATTGTAATCAAATCCTTTAACAAATGGCACTCCTCTAGATGTGACCTTCTTCTGATAGGCTACGTACTCTTCACCAAAAAAATAAATTAATGTGATTTCCTCATCATAGACACGTTCACTGAAGAATCTCCATGAGGCCCAGATATAGCCCATGAGACAAATGGGGTTACATAGTGTGAGTTGTGTTCCTGAGGAAAAAAGATGAAGAGATTCAGCTTTAAAAACATATATCATCAAATGACCCATCCAACCCCAAAATCCCATAAAAAAAAACCATAGTAAAAGCTGTCCTGTGTTAACGGCCAGATGGGTTGATGTAAGCTGGTTGGGGAAAAAGCCATCCAGCCTTGGTACACCTGTTAATTCATGCCCCATGGACCTCGCTGTGCTCAGTCCGTACATCATGACCTTGAGCTAAATACTTTCCCATCTAGCCTTTGTCCTTGGTCAATAAGTACATTATTATGCACTTAATGACTGAGTAGACAGGAAAATCATGACTGACGGAGCAAGTTCAATGAGGTCTGTGCATTTATAATAACCAACCACACTCAGTCAATAAGTACTTTATCATGATCACTAAGCCTGAAAAATTTCAAAAAAAAATGCTTTTACCTAAAAAGAGTTTTGTTTTCTCTTGAGTCTCAAACATTTAGACTCTTGGGAAAACAAATTTAACAGTCTCTCTTGGAAGCAGAGATGTAATTCATCAATCAATTAGATGCTTCAACATCCCCCCCCCCTCACCACCCACTGCGGCGAGCCAGACAAGGTTCAAATTCTCCAACCCTGTGCACAAATGACAGTCAAATGCCTGTGCTGTGAGTTACCCTGGTGGGACAGATGTTGAAGCTTGAAATTGATCAGTGCCAAGGCTGTGCTCAAAGAAAAATTGAATGGAGCCCAGTGCTCTGAAACTGTGAAATCCAGGGTGCTCAGCATATGCTTTGTATGAAAAAACTAAAATTTCTAAGTCGCCCAAGAGCAAAAGTAAGGCGCCAGGGGCCACCGGGCGCTGTTAGAGCACAGCCTTGAGTGCATATTAGTTTCTTTTGCTTTATAATAATTGATCAGTATTTACCTAAACTCCACCAGAACCAGCCAGCATATCCTGGATGTCGACAAAGGCTATAAATTCCATGGGTCACTAACACATGGCTTTTCTCCTTTCTAGTCTGAACAATGTGGGTAAAATTAGATTCAGCTGTTATCATAGCAAGCTTTCGTAAAGGTTCTCCCCCAATCATACACAGGAAACCAATTAAGCTTGCAATGAAAATGTTCTTCATCCAAGGGAAAAGCCACAGTTCTATACCAAACTCAATCCAGCTAGCAACAGCAGCAATTTGATACTCTGGACTGTGATTGAGCAAAAATGAATCCACAGATAGCTTGGCTGGAGAATAACGTGCCACCATGATATATTCAGAGAGGTGAAAGAATGATAATGCAGCTAGGTACCAACCAAAATATTTCCAGGGTGATTCCCCCAGGCTGAGGAGAATGGCAATTCCAAAAATGATACCTTTGGGTTAAAATATAAAATTCCATTTGTGAGTATAGGTGGAAAAAACTTTGAGTCCTCCATAAAGACTTTGACAACACATTAACTAATAGATTCCGTGTTGCTGTGGATCTGCTCCGCTAAAAATCACAGATGATTATCAAAATGGCGCGAGCAACACGTGGCTTGAAGTGACAATCTCACCAAATATGGATGTCAACTGTTATCTATTCCTAACTGTACAGACCCACAGCAACATGGAATCCATTTGATTTAAATAAAGAAGAAGAACTGGTACTGCCACCTGGTTAATTCAAGTGGTAGAGTGCTGGACTGCCATGTGGGAGGTTGAGGGATAGTTCCCCAGAATGGACTAACACTCAGGGTCTTAAAATGACTGAGGAGAATGTGCTACCTTTCTGCTATATCAAGAGATGGATAGATATTCTAGTCTACACAGATAAGGATGAAAAAACCATAGGCCCTGTCTCCTGCATCTTCTCTGTACTGGTTAGCAGCGGATATTGAAGAAACAACACACTTATCACAAAAAGTAGCTCCCGGTATTGTGGTCTGGCCTGTTTACTGAAATTGGAAGCATCTGTTAAAATTAGACTGTCAAGTCCCCCGCAAAACATTGAAATGTGCATTTGATGTGCAACATTGATTGAAGCTCCCCTAAACGGGCTTTTCAGCCTCAATGTAGTAAGGTTGAGATCGGACGTCAGCATTTTATCAGGTGCCTTTGGCAGCCACTTCAGTCCATGTAGTGATCTCACCTTCCCACCCATCCCACCCAGGGGAGGACATTCACCACACAGTAATCTTGTGCGTGAGAAATTAATGTCTCCTACCCCAAACCCTGCAGGAGACGGGACCTACGGCTTTACGTCTTATCCGAGAAGACGAAGCAATGTGAGTGAAG